AAGAGAAGAGAATTGAGAAGAACCTCCGAAGCAAGCTTTATATTATAAGTTTTTTACACAGAGGATGCTTTGCGGCAATCCTTCACTCTACAACGACTCTCCTCTCGAATAAACTCGACTCGACTAAAATTTTCTAGAAGAATCGAATGCTGGAATACAAATTCCTTAACTGATTGTTACCTATTAAAGGCAATCAGAGAGATCATTTGAAGGAGGGAGAGAAGAAGACAAGTCTTGGAGTTGTTTGGGGTGTGGAGAATGACAAATGAGGCTCCTATTTATAGATTTCGCAGCCTGGACATCTGGGATGGTCGTCTGGGTTGGGACGGCCGTCCCAACTGCAAAACTTGCACTGAGCCAAGTTGGGACGACCAGTTGGGTTTGGGACGGCCGTCCCATTTGAATTTTGTGGCTTGGGACGTGCGTCCCAAAGGTGAGACATGCGTCTCACTTGGCTTTTGGTGTTTGGGACGGCTGTCCCAGTTTGGGACGGCTGTCTCAACCTGTCTTGGCCAGTTTTTGCGCTCTGGGACCCTCAGGAAGCTTTCCTTTCCTTTTTCGAACGTCGTTTGATGCTGATGTGTGTCCGTTGAAGCTTTATCTTCATATAGGAAGTCTTCTTTGCCTTCATTAAGATGCGGGGCGAGCTTTATCTTCGTGTAGGAAGTCTCTTTAGTCTTTATTGTGTGGATGGGTGAACTCCGTCTTGTTGCGGGAGGTCTTTCTCGGTTTTTCTTTGATATGAAGCCGGGTGAACTGTATGAAGTTTCCCTAGCTTTTATTTTGAGAGGCCGGGCAAAATTAGGGGTCTACAGCTTCCCCCCCTTCACCTGCCTAGCTAATTTGTCGGCTTGATATGCCGACAAAATTAGTTGGTAGGGGAAGGAGTTAACCCTTTTGCCCGGTCATCCTTCGGATGCTGCTCCTTGCTGATCCTCCGGATGATAAATATTTTGATAGGTACCAACCCCTATCTGGTTTGAGCCTCCTTTTATAAGGCTCTGGTGAGTATTTACCCTCACCAGGTATAAGTCTGTATTTTACTAGACTTTAGTGAGTACCTACCCCCACTAGGTATGAACCTTGTTCTGCAAGGTTTTGGTGAGTACCTACCCTCACCCGGTATGAGTTTGCATTTTGCTAAACTCTTGTGGGTACTTACTTCCGAGGTGCTCAACACTGAACTATCCTTTAATAGAAGTAAGGTCTTTCCGACCCATTTTTTAAATGCTTAGGTGAGTATTTTTACTCCACCTAATGCATTCTGCTAAGTTTTGATGAGTACCTACCCTCATCTGGTACAAACCTTATTTTTAAGGTTTTGGTGGGTACCTACCCCCACCCGGTGCGAATCTGCATTTTTGCTAGATTCCGATGAGTACTTACCCTCATCCGGTCTCGAACCCCGTTCCGCAAGGTTCCGGTGCGTACCTACCCCCACCCGGTCCGAATCTCGTTCTGCAAGATTCTGATGGGTACCTACCCCCATCTGGTTCGAACCCCGTTCTGCAAGGCTCTGATGGGTACCTATTCCCACTCGGTCCAAACCCCGTTCTGCAAGGCTCTGATGGGTACCTACCCCCACCCGGTCCGAATCCCATTCTGCAAGATTCTGATGGGTACCTACCCCCACCGGTCGAACCCCATTCTGCAAGGCTCGATGGGTACCTACCCCCACCCGGTCCGAACCCCGTTCGCAAGATTCGATGGGTACCTACCCCCACCCGGTCCGAACCCCGTTCCGCAAGGCTCCGATGGGTACCTACCCCCACCCGGTCCGAACCCCGTTCGCAAGGCTCGATGGGTACCTACCCCCACCCGGTCCGAATCCCGTTCCGCAAGATTCCGATGGGTACCTACCCCCACCCGGTTCGAATCCCGTTCGCAAGATTCGATGGGTACCTACCCCCACCCGGTCCGAACCCCGTTCCGCAAGGCTCGATGGGTACCTACCCCCACCCGGTCCGAGCCTCGTTCTGCAAGGCTCGATGGGTACCTACCCCCACCCGGTCCGAACCCCGTTCGCAAGGCTCGATGGGTACCTACCCCCACCCGGTCCGAATCTCGTTCCGCAAGATTCCGATGGGTACCTACCCCCACCCGGTCCGAACCCCATTCTGCAAGGCTCGATGGGTACCTACCCCCACCCGGTCCGAATCTCGTTCCGCAAGATTCGATGGGTACCTACCCCCACCCGAGTCCGAACCTCGTTCTACAAGGCTCTGATGGGTACCTACCCCCACCCTGCCCGAACCCCGCTCTCGCAAGGCTCGATGGGTACCTACACCCCCACCCTGGTCCGACCTCGTTCCCGGCAAGGCTCACGGGTACCTACCCGGCCAACCCGCGATGCTCGATGGGTACCTACCCCCGGTGAACCGTCGCAAGGTTCCATGGGTACCTACCCCCACCGGTCCGAACCCCATCTCCAGTAAGGCTCGATGGGTACCTACCCCCACCCGGTCCGAATCTCGTTCTGCAAGATTCCGATGGGTACCTACCCCCACCCATCCGAACCCCGTTCCGCAAGGTTCCGAATAAGCCCCGCTTCGTAAGGCTTTTAGAATGACTTTTTGATAGTCAATCCCGTGGTCATCTCGGTTTTGGAGATGTGTTGGCGACTTATTGTTTCGTCTCATGCGCCTATTCTCCGTGGGGAATATTTGATTTGACTTTTTGACTTTTCTGTAGTCATCCTAGTTTTACCGGTATTCTTTGTTTTTTGGCTTTTGGTTTAGCCATCCGGTCTTGGCCTGGGGATTCTTTGATTTTGACTTTTCCTTTTAGCCGT